TAAGTAAAAATGGAATTTATGAAAAATTTAGATTTGAAATTTCTGAACTTTTATTGTTTAAGATCTTTTTAAGATTTAAAAAAAATTAAAAATATAAAATTTTAAGAGAAAAATTTTAATTTATGAAATATAAATAGTATAAAAAAACTAAAACTCCTAAAAGCCACACCAACCAAGCCCTAAACATGTGGGATGACCTAGTCACTAGTGTGGTATGCATGGCCTCATGTCACGGTTTCAATTGCAAGAGGCAGCACGGCAGTTCCCCCTCTCCTTTTGTATAGAACTATAGATAGATTTTACATGTACCTAATTGCCTTCTTCAAACAAAGAGGTTAAAAGAGAAAAATGTCTCATGTTTGAAAACTTGAAATCCAAACAAAAAATCAAATCTGCTAATTAACTATTTCTTTATGTCACTATTATTATTTTAAAAATTACTTCTATTTTTTCTATTTTTTTTATACATATTTAGAGTGAGACAATTTTTCGACTAATTTTCACTCAACTCAAAATTAATTTTCCTCTAGAACTTTTAAGGGGTTTACCTCATTTGTTTACTAGTAGAACCCTTGGGGTTAAAAAAGCTTCTACTATTAATAATTACTTTTCATACTTTTTCAAAAGAGTTGAATTTATTATTAAATAAATATCGTCTTATAAATTAAATTTAATATTTAAGTCTTAACACCAATATTTAAACAAATTAAATTTTTTTTACTATACTAAATTAATGTGAGAGGTATTGCCTTTAAAAAATATTGTATGAGAATGAATTAGTTTCATGATATACAAAACATAACTTGGAGACACATTAACAATAAATAAAAAAATCTATTTTATTACACTTTTAATTATTATAAGTGTATTTTTATATATAAAAAATTTTCCGCACAAATTTATTTTGTATAAGAAAGACATCGTCAACTTTAAAGAACCACTTTTTCTGTTATTGCAACCTCACTTTCTTCTTCATAGCTCTTGTTCTCCTCCCTCTTCACATTTTATCCCAAATTAAGTTTCATCCATGGCAGGAGTCGTCGCTCAAATCAACGGTAAACCCATATTGATCCATGCACTTTTCCGGTCAAATCCTAGCCGTTCATCATCACCGTTGTCCTTGCCGCCGTTGTCTTGGAGAAAGGGGAAGGTCACCATGTCATGCAAGCGGTCTTATTTAGCCTCCATAAATGAAGACGTTAAAGCCCACCTCAAGCATGCCATCCCGGTACGAGAACCACTCGCCGTTTACGAGCCCATGCACTATCTCACTTTTGCCGCTCCCTGGAACACGGCGCCAGCCTTATGCGTGGCGGCGTGCGAGCTCGTCGGCGGCCACCGGAGCCTAGCTTTGCCAGCAGCATCCGCGCTTCACCTCATGTATGCAGCCTCCTACACTCACGACAACCTTCCCCTACAAGAAAGCTGCAGGCCCAAGTCCACAATCCACCACGAGTACGGCCCAAACATAGAGCTGCTCACGGGAGATAGTATTCTGCCTTTTGGGCTAGAGGTGCTTGCCAAATCGGATGATCCGGCCCAAAACATATCGGGCCGGATTCTACGCGTGGTAGTTGAGATCACACGCTCCGTTGGTTCACAAGGAATGATATATGGCCAATATCTTGAGATAGAATCCATTCAATCCAACGGCTGTGGTTCATGCCACGTGGAAGAGATCGAACGCGTGTGTGAGAAATACGAGGGTTCTTTGTACGCGTGTGCTGCCACGTGCGGAGCAATCATGGGAGGAGGAAGTGAGGAGGAGATAGAGAAGATGAGAAGGTATGGTTTATATGTAGGAAAAATTCAAGGAATGACAAATAGAATTAAAGGGAATGATAAAGATTTGGTGAAATTAGTGGAGGAGATGAGAGGTTTGGCAATCAAGGAATTGGAAGGATTTGATGAAGCAAAGGTTGAGGCATTTTCTAGTTTCCTAAGGTAATTTTATGTAATTATTTATGTTTTAAAATTTAAATTATATCATATTATAAATTATGAACTATTAGATGAGAAAATCACTCTAAATATTAAAAAGTTCATGTTATTTAATGGTTTAAATTCTATAGTTAAATGTAATTTGAATTTGATAATATTTTTTTATTTTATATATGCTTAAATTAATGATTTCAATAATTTAATTGTAATTTTTTTAATAAAAATAAAAGATTTTAAGATTAAATCATACTAGTAAAGTAAGCTAAGTGATGAAAGAAATTTGTTTCTTATTATATAACTCAAGATAAAAAGTAAAAATAAAAATCTTATGTATGCTTGAAATAAGAACAAATATAAGACA